AAAATATGAAGTGAACCATTTTCATTTTATATGTAAATTATACTTATTAAGACAAATAGAAAAACTTTCATGCAGAAATAATACTTTGAACTATGTTTAAAAATTTTAAACTTTAAAAATGGTAAATTTGACCCGCAATATAGCAGGAGGGTTAAAGGTCAAACAGTTTCACCTGCAACTTGTACGGTTAGCAAAATATCTAATGTAATAATGAATGGATGAAACTGAAAGTAATCACATCATTTCTCATCATAAGATGAGTTTAGTCGACATGAATTCCTTTGATTCAGAATGATGTGATTTAATCTGCAGATGAATTACCTGCGGCAGAGACTCGATGCTCTGTCCTCTCATCTTGACAACTGTCTCTGAGGAGCTGGAGGTGGATGAGCTCACATCTTTGACTATCAGTCCTAAAAAAACAAAAACCTTTCAGTTCCTTAAATCTCAGCTGAGAGGAGCTAAACGACGTGGTACCTCAGGTACAGAGAACAAAACTCAGACTACATTCTGTAAAGGCTGTAATTCTTACTGTAAAACACCCAGTGAGGATCTGTACCTGAGWATCCGTTGGTCTGATCAGGGGACATGGTCAGCATGTCCTCAGTGATGTGGATGCAAAGTTCCTGATCCAGAACCATCTCATGAAGCTCCTCGTAGTCTTTGGGGTCATCCACCAGCATCTCAATCTCTGAGGAGCAGAATTGATCTGAATTGTAAGTAAAAGTTTATTCATATAGTGCCTTTCACAGAAAAGGATTCCACAAAGTGCTCTACATCCATTATCAGATTGAAAAAACTAATGTATCACAATTACTGTACAGTTAATACATTCATAGTTAACCAATTAATGGCATTAATCAATATTAATTAAGTCATGTTTGATTCAAAAATGGAAGATTACCAACAATAGTTGGATATAAGATAGGTTTCAATATTTGAAACAAAAACAAAAAGGATTTAAATTTATCTCTCACCCTTACAGGTGGAGGGGATGGATACTAGACCGTAAAACACACATGTTAGTCAGGGCTTATAAACTCAAGTTGTGAGGTGTTGAATTTATTCAGTGTAATGTTTGAGTGAAGAGGTGTGTTTTTAGTTGTTTTATAAAGTAGTCAGTGTTTTCAACAGATCTTAGAGAGGGCGGAAGGGCGTTCCACAGTCTGGGAGCCGTTGAGGAAAAGGCACAGTCACCACGGGTCTTGAAGCGAGTACAGGGGACCAAGAGAAGATTCTGGTCTTGTGAGCGCAGGTTGTGTTTGGGGTTATAAGACGAGAGAAGACCAGAGATGTAGTTTGGCCCTTGGCCGTGTAGAGATCTAAAAGTGAGAAGCAGGATTTTGAACTTGAGTCTGAAGTGTACAGGTAGCCAGTGGAGGTCTGATGATACAGGGGTGATGTGAGATGATTTGGAAGTTCTAGTTAGGAGTGTAGCAGGAGAGTTTTTAACAAGTTGGAGACGGTTTAATTGTTTCTGATTTAAGCAGGAGAACAGGCTGTTACAGTGGTCAAGACGAGTTGAGATAAAGGCATGGATTACCATTTCCAGGTCAGAGGCAGGCAGYAGGGGGCGAAGTTTAGAAATGTTACTGAGTTGAAAATAGCACGAGGTAACTAGATTTTTGACGTGTTTTAGTGACAGATCTGAATCAAAATTGACTCCCAGATTTCATATGCTCTTTTTAACAGTCGGACTCAGAGAGCCCAGTTGTTCTTTTATCTGAGAGATCTTATTTTCAGGTGCCAGGATCAGAGTTTCTGGAGTAGCAGGTTGTCAGAGAGCCATTTGTTGACTTCTGTGATACAGTCTAAGAAAGAGATCAGCTTGTGGGAACTTGACTCATTAAACGTATAACTGCAGGTCATCAGCGTAGAAGTGATAGGAGACATGGTGAAAATTGTCAATGATCTGGCTTAGGGGGTGGATGTAGAGAAGGAAAAGGAGGGGCCCCAGGATTGAACCCTGTGGTACGCCACAAGTGAGTTGGGCTGGTTTAGAATAAGTTTGATTTTGAAGTACTGAGAAAGAGRGGTCAGAGAGGTATGAATTAAACCAGTTTAATACAGAACCCGATATCCCAATGTTTCTCAGGTTGTGTAGTAGAATGGTATGATCAACAGTGTCAAAGGCAGAGGGAAGGTCTAATAGGAGCAGAACAGTGTAGAAGCCACTATCAGCAGACATTAATATGTCATTTCATACACGTGGAAAAGCGGTTTCAGTGGAGTGAAATTTGTGGAAGCTCGATTGAAAAAGGTTGTGAATATTATTTTCATCCAGGTAAGCAGTAAGTTGTAGTGATACAATTTTCTCCAAGACAGGAAAGGTAATTTAGAGATGGGCCGGTKGTTGTTGAGATCTGAGGGGCTGAGGGACTGATTTTTTAATTTGAGTTCAACAATTGCTTTTTTGTAGTTGCCTGGCATACACCCAGATGTAAGTGAGAGGTTCAGTAGGTCAACAAGTGAGGGCCCRACRACATCATAAACAGTTTTTTAAAAAGCTGGGTGGTWGAACGTCAGCAGGAGAGGTTGAGGATTTCATTTTCTGGATTACAGTTCCAAGGTATTCTGAGGTTACAAGGTCAAAGGAAGACCACGATTGTGTGGGGCTGGCGTCAGGTCTGATGTGTAAGTCTGTTGGAGCAGAAGCCGGTTTAAGTGGGATGCTACTCCGGATGTTCTCGAGTTTAACAGTGAAGTGTGTGAGGAAGTTGTGGCAGGTGGGAGCTGAAGATGGGTGTGGGGAGGGGACGCCTGGCGAGACTAGCGAGTCACTAGTGTTGAATAAGGTTTTGGGATTTTTCTTATAGCGGGTGATTAATTGTGTTGTTTCTAAGCAAATACCAAAAACGCCTCCCTGCATTGTGTTGACAAAGTTGGGTCAGTGTGACATGTTTACTAACAGAAAACCCACCATCGTCATCCAGGACCCGCTCCTTCCCACTGCTCTCGATGCCAGACGTATGTGAGCTGCCGTGGCTGGTTGTGGATGAGCTGCAGGTTCGTAGGGGCCGGTGCGGGGCCTGACCCGGGGCTCTGAAGCTGTCCGTCTCAACGCCGGACGTGTGCGAGCTGCCGTGGCTGGTTGTGGAGTGGCGAGACAGACGTTTAGGATGGGACATGCTGCCCCGGCTGCTGCCGCTGGCCTGGGAACGCTTGTCCAGCTGCTCCATGTCCAGCTCCAGAGCATCGCTGATGTACGACTCCCGGTACTGCTTCTTCTCTGCAGGTCAACGTTTCAACATTCAGATTTTATTCATTTATTTATATATTCACACTGTTTTAGTCATCCTGTAGTACGAACAATAAATACAGGCATTCATTCTTCAGTGAAAAAAAAACACCTTTTGTTTGCTAATAGCCGTCCATCCGGTAGCTGGAAACTCCCTACACTTCCCTTCTCTTAAAACAAACAAGACTCAGGGTGTTTGGTTCCAAACCTTACAAAAAGCTGAACAGCAAAAGAAATTAATATTGGGCACAACTACATTAAATTTAAAACTATAAATAAATTTGTTAGTTTTGTGTGTATGTCTCTCATTTTTGTATATTTATTAAAGCGGCAGGTACCTGGTTATCTGGTAGTAGGCTGGTAGAGCTCTGAGCTCTCCTCCCGACAGAGAGGAAAAAATAAAAATGAGCCACGATGTGTGGCGAAACAGACTAGTTTAAACAGAAACGTCCTCCAAAAATATGAAGCAATGTAATGTTTAGGACAGAACAATGTCCCAGCAGTTCTTCATTCATCTGGAGAAGAACTTTTCTGTAAGTTTTGTCAGCACACGAAGGGCTGGATGTGACATGAAGACCACTTCCTGTCTGAGTCACATCACAAACAGCAGCTGAGAGACGCTGCAAACTCCTGAACACTCAGAAGTGAGGTGGGACTTTATCCAAGACTTTGTTGTGTGCAGAATCAGATTTTCTTTTAGAAAAAATGAAACAGTGTTGTACTTTTCTGATAAAGCTCTATAAAGAGGAGGGGGCATGGGTGGAGGATCCTTTCAAAACAAAAGTAAATGAGCTTAGATCCTAGTGCAGACTGCTGCTGTTTGCATGTTTTATGTTTCTTTATGGCATATTTAATGTTAAGTTTCATTCTAAAACTTTTATTTTCCAAAGGATTACTTTATTAATGTGAGATTCTGTGTTTTACACATAAAGAAAAAATATCTTTAAGTATCTCATCAAAATAATTTAACGTTCTGCTGAACTACAGCTATTTGTTATTAGTGAAAGAGAAATAACAGTTATTATTATTTTATTTCTGTAACTATTTATTTAAATAATTTTTCAGTCATTTTATAATTACACATTTTTTGGTTAATAAAATAATGGAGATCGAACGATATGAAAAATTAATCGTGATCATTTTTTTGCCATATTGCCCAGCCAGAAGGATCTACGCCTCACTATAATCAAATATTTTTCAATATTTGATTCAATGTTTTTTTCCTCCCAGGCCAGAAAATAGCTGCGTTTCCATTGCAAATGTGCAAAGATATCCCCTCGCGATACCTTTTGCGTCCCCTCGCGATACCTTTTGCGTTCCCTCGCAATACCTTTTGCGTTCCCTTGCAATACCTTTTGCGTCCCCTCGCAATACCTTTGTGTTCCCTCGCAATACCTTTTATGTTCCCTCGCAAAGCTTTTGTTACCTCACAATACCTTTGCGTTCCCTCACAATACCTTTGCGTTCCCTTGCAATACCTTTGCGTTCCCTCGCAATACTTTTGTTTTCCCTCACAATACTTTTGTTTTCCCTCGCAATACTTTTGCGTTCCCTCACAATACCTTTGCGTTCCCTCACAATACCTTTGCGTTCCCGTGCAATACCTTTGCGTTCCCTCGCAATACTTTTGTTTTCCCTCACAATACTTTTGTTTTCCCTCACAATACTTTTGCGTTACCTCACAATACCTTTTGCGTTACCGCGCAATACCTTTTGCATCCCCTCGCAATACCTTTTGCATCCCCTCGCAATACCTTTGCGTTCCCTCGCAATACTTTTGCGTCCCCTCGCAATGCTTTTGTGTTACCTCACAATACCTTTGTGTTCCCTCGCAATACTTTTGCGTTATCTCGCAATACTTTTGCGTTACCTCGCAATACCTTTGC